CCCCCAGCCCAGTGACAGTTTGGGTGGGTTTATTGAGGACACGCAGGTGCCGAAATGTCCCACTGCCATCCTGGGCGCTGTGCTTGTGACAACTGTGGGAAGGGCTTTCTTCTCTGGAGGGCTATTTCAATTGCTGGGCCTCCTCACTTTCTTTATGATAAAATTCAAGTAATTATGTTTCCTGCCTTACAGTGGTGTGGAGAAGATTAAATGAGAGAGTGTACATGAAGCTCTTAAATAGCCCAGTATTGAGAAAATGCTCAATATCTATCAGCTGTCAGTGAGTAGGTCTATTTGTTTTGCAGAATTTCCAGTGGCAGACATTTTGGAAAGGATGCTTGGGACCCCTTCCAGATGCAGGCCTAGCAGGACCCAACTGCTGCATCCTTGGCTAAGACACTCAGCAAATGCTTCCTGGATGATGGATCAGTGAGTCAGATCCCTGGCCAGTGAGGACATGTCTAGCCTGCTTTTTCTGGCACCCCCATGCTCCCACCCAGGGGATTCTGGGAGCCAGAAGACAAAGGGAGATGAGCATAAAGAAAGGTGAATTCCTTATAAGTGACTGTGGAGTGCCCTGGGGAAAGTCATCTCTTTGGACCTTGGTTTCTCCATCTGCACAATGGGCACTTTGGAGCTGGGAATTGCTGAGGACCACAGATGGTCTCCAAGAACATAATGGCTAGAAGCTGAAGCTCCCTCAGTCCAGGCCCTGCTTCTGGAGACAAAGCACAGCAGACAAGAAGATGAAAGGTACTCCCCTCCATGCCTCAGGAAGTCACCTAGCAGGTTGAAAGAGAGTTGGCTGAGACCCCAGGTGCCCAAGTTTCTTGGCTAACGAGGAGATTTTGGTCCAGGTAACTTCTGAGGCCTGCCTGGGGGAACTTATAGGGGCCATGGATGAACTTAGCAGCCTGAGGGGGCCCTTCTAGCCCTTGGACCTGACTCCTGGATGTGGCATTGCACTGATCTCAGAGGATCAATTTTAAAAATTAGTAGATAACCCCACCAGGGCACGAGAAGACAGGAAAGTGGATGTATTCTTCAGGGATCTGGGGGTCGTAAATGACAGAAACACAAATCAAACCAGTTGAAGGAAAATGGACTTAGGTAACTGAAGAGACCTAGGCAGAATGAGTGCGGGTTGTGCACCCCACATCTAAGAACTCTACTTCTCACTGAGAGTGGGCTTTGCTTTTTCTTTCACAGCTTTGCCCTCAGCAGGCTCTCATTTGATGGCTGCCCCTCATGCAGTGGCTGCCACACATCCACCTGAACAGCTAAAAGCCCCAAGGTACAGAGATACCTCTTTCCCCATAGGTCGTGTGGTCAAGCTTGGGTCACATACCCACTCCTGACCATGTGGTAAGGATGACAGATTGCTCTGATGAGCAGCGCTAGTCATGGATCCAATCCTGGAGTTTGGGGCAGGGTCAGGGGGTGTTAGCCCCATAAGAACCATATGGACCGGGGTGGGGTGAGGTGTGTCATCAAAAAAATGGAGGGTGGTGTTTAGTAGAAGAGGGAAGAGGTGCTGAGTTGACAAAAAGAATGCCTGCCTTCTACTGAATCCTTAAATAAAATTACTGACAGCCTTGGTCCCTCTCTGCCTGTCATTTGGAGGTCCTCAGGTTTATGCAGTAAGGTTACCCCATCTCTCTCAGCTGCCAGAAATTCTGCCTCCTATGACAGATTAAAAGATAGTTTATAGTAAAATGTCAATATCTCCCAGAAGTGGTTAAACATGTTTGCAGAAGGCAAAGCCTCACTGGAAATGGTGGAATTAATCTGATGTTGAAATTTAAGGCAGTGTGACAAAAAGACAGAAGAGATCTCTGGGAAGACTTCCAAGTACACAGTGGACCTAGCAGCACAAAGGCAGTCCAGGAGGAAAGATAAATCTCCTTCCCTTCATAGGTCTCCATTCATGGCAGATGGCCCTCCCAGGCAAGTCAGAGCTCCAGGCTCTTCCGTTCCCTTCCTCTGAGGGATCTGCCTGTCCAGTTGTCAACCTGTCACTGAAACACTGCTTCAAAGTTGTTGTATAGGTGTGTATTCATCAAGCATCAATTTCTAACACTGAAAAAGGGGCTTTCGAAAAAGGGAGGTCTATTCTTCTGGATAATTACAGATAAGTTCTGTATGAGACAGTCAGGAGGGAGACTCCAAGAAGCAGATAAGACATGTTAGAATATTAGAATAGTCATCACCCACTCTTCCTCTTTCTACCCACTCACTCATCACCCAACAACTCACCTAGCCTTGTATTCATTCATCCACCCATCAGTCACCCACCTACCCACTTAACCATTCATCTGCTCATCCATCCACCCATCTACCCACCCACGCACATACCCATCCACCCACCTACCCATCCATCCATTCACTCACACAATTGTTGACTGCTGTGTATCCAGCCTGTGCCATGCATTGGGAGCACAGAGATGAGCCATGTCCACTCCCTCCCTTTAAAGTCCTCCTAGTCTAGCTGGAAAGACATCCACAGGCATACTTCATGGCATGATTCTGTGATCAATGCTGTGGAGACCCCAAGGAAAACCCCAAGGAGCATTTAATTATAATAGACATTTGGTTGAGTATTGATACATCTGTTGGTATTTACCAAGAGAAAAGATGAGAAGGGC